GGCAGGCTGCTGGCCGAGCCGAGCCGACTGCCGGTCCAGTCGACCCGCAGTCTGGTCCAGACCGGTTTGGACCGGCTGGACAGGTTCAGCCCCACTTTTAAATCGGTTCGATTCTTATGTTAAGGTTTCAGCCTGGTTCATGATTTTAATAAGATTTTCAGTTAAATTTTTGGGATTATTTCAGTTCAGTAAATTCATGTCCAATCAGTTCATGTTAAGTCAGTTTCGGTTATTCCGGTTAAGTCTAAATATCATGTCAGATTAAGTAGAACATCTTAACGAAATTAATCAGTTAAGTTAACAGTCTGAGCATAGTCATTAGTAATTGTTTATATGATTTTCAGTTTGATCAGGCATCAGCACTACCTTAAGTTCAGCAGTTCAGGTGGGGACTCAGACTAAGTACTACATTGATTATAATTACGGTACCATGTTTGAGGTATGTATTTCAGTTGAGGTATCCGCTCGGAATGGTCGCCGGTCCATTCTGGGTTCTAGTGGCCCTAGTCTGCCCACTAGTGTGTGCACATGGTGTCCGGCTTTGCCAGCAGATGAGGTAACGGTCAGGGTCACGTTTGCGTGACGATTTCAGATTCATGTTCATGTTATTACTGGCTTGAGGTTGAGGTTGAGGTTATATATATATTGATATCATGATGTTGTTATTATTTTCAATGTTTACATTAGTATGAGTTTCCACGGAGCACAGTGCCATAGTGCTCATTTCCCACTTTTATCATGTTTTTCAGGTCAGGACGTCGGGCTGGGAGCATGAGCTGACGGAGGCTTCAGGATATTTATGTTTTTTACTGTATATTTATGATGATGACTTACGCTTCCGCTAATGATGTTTTGATGACTTCTGACGATGTTTTTGATGACTTTTGACGTACTTATATTTTGACGAACTTTTGGGAAACTTTATGCTTTCAGTAACCGGATGATTTTCTTAAAAAAAAAAAACGGTTTTCCAAATTAAGTCACGATTTTAAGGTAGCACCCCGAATCAGTTTTCACAAAGTAAAAAGGCTTTATTTTTAAATAACTTTGCGAATTTTTCGCACTCTGATTTAACGATAAGGAGGGGTGTTACAATTGGTATCAGAGCACGTTTCTGCGTCTCTGACAAGTTTTTCAGTCAGTATTTTTCAAGAAAAACTTGAACCGTCATGCTCACGCCCCGCCGACGACAGGTAAGTGCTGATTCAGTTTTTCAGTAATAAACATATTACTTTGTCTATGCTCAGAATGAAGAATCAGGACTTTAGTTAAGATGCTCGAATCAGGTTCAGACTTTAGAGTTCGGACATGACTCTAGAATTCAGCCATTCAGATATGACTCTAGACACTAGGATCTTCCTATATGATTCTAGAGTTCTTCAGGATTCACGTCAGTAATTATCGGCCACTTTTGGCAACTCGTCAAGAGATTTGTGTGCCTTAGTAATCAATCAGAATGTTATCACGTATTCA